CAATAAGTCCATAATAATCGAATTTTTCGCTACTAAATTCTCTATATATATCAGGATACTGGCCTAATATTTTATTACGAAAATAAATGCAATTGTAAGTCAGATTAGATGAAGATATAGATAATGATGCACTTACTTGAGCTTCTGATGAAGACTTTGCTGATATTTCAGCTTTTGGTAAATTGTCCAGATCTGAAGGGATAGGGGTTGTGGTGGATTCACTTACTTCAGAATTATTCTGATCGTGATATTTTGTCACAGTTTTTGATACCACCTGATTTATGATATGTTGAATTTGAGTATCTTTTAATCCCGAAATAGTACTTGCACTATATGTAATGTAATTGATTTTATCTATACCTACTCCTCCTTTACCAAATAGCTTAAGAATTTTTTGAGCTCTTTTAGTTTTCTTACACAAATTTACTTCTGTAATATTAGGTAAAAAGGTTTCATTTCTTTATATATTTTTGATCTTGCTATTTTATCTTTAATCTTACCATCTGCTGTAAGGCTTTTAATCTTATTTTCGAATTCTAAAGAATAATAATACCAATATAAAATTTGTTTCTGACCTGATTTAATTGCTTTATCAAATAAGTCTGATAAACTTTGTACAGAGCCCGGAATCATATCCTGTATACAAGACTTATTCAAAGATATAGAGTTGATTTCGGGAGAAACAATACTTTGTGTTTGATTACAGGTCATTTCTTGTATTAAACCTTCTACGATTTGATTGTCGGATTCAGATATTTCAATATAGATAATATCAGAATTGTCAAGTATATAATTTTGATCGTGACATTTTGTCACGGTTTTTACATTACATGATTGAGGTATCATCTTTTCAGATTTTATTTGATTAACTAAAGATAAGTCTTGTTCTCAAAGCTTTTTTTCCTTTATGCTCTGAATTATCTCTTCACTAACCTTTTCCTTATACTTTGAATCCAGAAATTCATCGATCTCCTTATCTTCTAATGATGCGGGTTCAGCTTTTAGCTGGCTTAGGTTGACGCTAACACTATATTTCTTATCAGAGAGATCTTTGATAGGCAGTGAATTGGAGGATGTCCATCTAGTGCTCCTTTGGGCCTCAAGGGTTACCGGTGATTCTAAACAAGCTGAGAACTGTGAAATATCTTCAATAAGAGATGCATCCTGTTCATTAGTATTAACTCGGGTTTGTAGTTTGATTTCCTCGATGTCATGTCTTAATTTCGCTACTTCAGCTTTAAGTTTAGCATTTTCAGCTTTACGCTTGGAATTCTCAGTCTCAAGATCAGATTTTTCTTTTATGGTTTGCCTAAGCTTCGCATTTTCAGCCTCAAGCTCAGCAATGCGGGTTTTCAACAAATCAAATTCGGAATGCATGTTCGATAATATTTTTATAAGATATATATTTGTTCAAAACTTATTTAATAAAATCACTTTTACCAAGAAATATTTTTGTTTCAAAGAGGCGCACTTTTGCCAAGAAAAATCTTTGATCATATGCGAGTTAACATATATCGATATCAATACAATAAAATAAATTCACAAAATACACACACAAAAGTAAACATATTTATGTATGCGAAATTCGACCACCAGGGCCAGCTTTATTGATTGGGGAGATTAAGGTAATTTGATAATCATAACAATATACCAGTGATAAAGTGCCAATGGATAGCAAATCTAGACCAATGAATAAAAAGAAAAAAATATCACAAAGCATCATGTCATATATAAGATCTGCTTCAAGTTTTTATTGACCATTCAAAATACTACTTTATGAACAGCTAGTTAATGTTTAAAAACATGATATACATATAAAAAACGAGCTAATTTAGAACACGTAAAAAAACCTAATATCTAGCTAGTACGACGCCTCTTAATGCGGGTACATTTTGAGTCATCGTCATGTCCTCGGACTTGATACTGGAGGATAGAGGTAATAAAGCCGAGAATTATCTTTACTTGTTCCATATTGTTACTATCAAATTCGCAAATATGTGGTCCGGATAAATCAACTGTTGGATCATCTAAGGAACCTGCCCAACGAAGGAAATACCATTGTAATGCATTTGTAACGATTCCATACATTACAACAGGAACTTCTTCATCTCTCGGGTCTATCTCAATTCTGCGTTTTCGTGACTAATATAATATGTCAGCTGAGTAAACGTAAAAAAAAATTATCACGTTAATACAATAATTACCTCTACGGCACTATGAATCTGTGCGATATTTTG